AAATATTCAATAACTACATAATCTGTAAAAGTTGACATGCAGACCTACAAGTTTTATGTCTTGACTTCTCTGCCTGATAATGTCGTTACAGTCAATGGCCCAGCATGATCGATACCGGTATGAGGACATGAACGTAAAGAAGAGATACGTAATTGTGGTTATTTGCTCATGAGTTGCCGTGATCTCAAAAAAAAAAAATATCAGTGCTCTGCAGTGGTCTAGGTGCGACCCGAAAGGACCACACGACCAACTTCCCAGTCGAAAAAATTAAAAAACAATTTGAAGAGAACCCGTTTCCATTTTTTATGACAAATGGAATTCATATAAACGAAATGAGTCTGTTTATATTCATTTGATATAGTTAGTTACTTTATTTCAGTAAAAGAAAAAATTGTGCGTTAAAAGAATTCGAATGTACCTCATAGATCCTTTTTTTCATTATTTACAACGAATTTCATAGTTATACACGAAAAAAGTATGCTTTCATTTATGGCATACGGTTGATAACATTTTTTGAGTAAAAGAAAAAATTATGCGTGAAAAGTACTCATATATATAGAAAGGGTCTCTATTTTTATTGTTTATAACAATTTAAAACTTATTATTTAAACATTACTACGATCAATAATCACTTGTTAGTAACAATGTTCAATTGTTATGAACACAACTCCATATTATTGACAATTATTGTTGACTATAATAGCGTCTTTAATGCTGTTTTCTCAATCCTGACACGAGTTTAAAATTCTTTCATTGCTTATATTGTTTTTTAAATTTTTTTCTTGATGAAATATTGTCATCATACATTCATACAAGTATTTCAATCATTAAATATTCATATTTCTGCAATGATCTTAAAATTTTGTCTAAAAAATGGTATAACTTATAAATTGCAAAATTCAAGTAATTTCCTTTTTCTCCAGTTTTTTGATTCTGCCAAAAAAATGGCTTTACCGATTCTTCTGAAAACATTTTTAGTTCTAAGTTACAGGATTGCTCGTTGAATGCAATTGGTCCCACATCGATATCATTTTTTTTTCTTGAGATAATCGAGGCGAAAAATAATTCCGAACGTACGTACGCACATATACACATACGTACAAACGCAGATACGCAAAATCGCACATACGTACATACACACACACAGACGTCGACGTAAAAACTGTCGATTCATTCTAGAATAGGCTTTCGAATTCATTTATTATTAACCTTTTTTTCAGCAAAAGGAAGAATTACGCGTTAGAAGAATCCATATATATTGCATGGATCTATATTGTCATTGTTTATAACAATTAAAAAATTTTTTATTCAAATATTATTATGATCGATAATCATTTGTTATCAACAATGTTCAATCGTTATGAACACAATTTCGCATTATTAACAATAATCATTGGCTATTTTATTATCCTCAACGCTATTTTCTCCATCCGAATACAAGTTTAAAATTTCGTTATTGCTGATTCTGTTTTTTAAAAATTTTTTTTCTATGAAATACTGTCATCATATTTCTGTACAATTATTCCAAACATTTGATATTCATTTTTTTCAAGAGATCTCGGAATTCCGTCTTAAAAATTGCAGAATTTAGGTAGTTCACTATTTTTTCAGTTTTTTGATTCTGCATGAAAAATGGCAGAACCGATTTCGCTGTAAATCTTATTAGTTCTAAGTTACGTAATTACGCGTCGAATGCAGTTGGTCCCACGTCGATATCATATTTTGTTCTCGAGATAATCGACGCGAAAAATAATTCCGAACGCACGTAGGAACACACAAACATACGCACATACGTACATACACACACAGACGTCCACGTAAAAACTATCGTATTCAACTCTGGGGACCTTAGAACGTGGAGATATGTCAAAATCAGCGATTCGCAAAATCGGACCCATTACTATAACTTCCATCTGGGAAGTTAATATTCCCTTTCTTCCGAGATTTGTATCAAAATGAAAAAGTTAAATTACTAATTTATCGTACGTATTACATATATGATAATCATTTTAAAAATGTTTAAGACACGATGATTTTTTACACCATGGATAACGGATAATTGCAGTATTTTTACATCCTAGAATTTCACAATAAGACTTACAGTTATCTCCAAATGCAGAATCGTCTGGATTTTAAAATTCATCCGATTTAATGAATGCTACTTTTAGACCACGAATAATTGAAGAGATCACAATGTATTGTGGACGAGAGTTGATTATGAGTCAATAATTGTAATTTAATAATATTATTTCTCAAGTGTAAATTTGAATTATCTCTTCATAATACAACACTGTCTGAAAAATGTCTAACATAGTTTTCCCATATTTTAAACCCCAAAACATCTAATGGTGGAATTTGTCCGGTAGCCTCTTCAGAAATAATCATTATCTCGATTTTTTGATCCAGTAGTTCGTTACCGATAAACATCCAATGTATTATATAATATAATATTTCAATCAAATTTTTTACGTGAAGTAAAATTCCCGGGTTTTGAATGAGTGTATGCGCGTTGGGGATGCTTAGAAACGGAGATCATCAAATTGTAAATTTTTTTCAGCCAATAATGCCCATTTACCTAAATCGAAATCATAGACTATCATCCCAGCATCGATCGCAGCTTCAAAATTTTTCAACGTATATTTGCAATTTGAGCAGTTTTTTCTTGTATGTTCTACCTTGGTTCAATTGATGTGCCCAGCGTTTTAATTGTCAAGTAGACTGTACTTTTCTACATTTTTGCTTAACACTATCAGTACTGAAATTCTTTTTCTCACCACTTCACCAATACTCAACTGCCTCCAATGTATAATTATGACTTCAGCTCTCTTCATTAGCAGGACATGCTTCATCAGACACTTTTGGTTCATGGATTGCAGATGCAAATTCTTCGTCTTCTATAATTTCAGGTTCCCAATCTTTATGTGGTTCTTTAAAATATAATCAATTCTCCTCCACCGTTTCGATATCAATATACCTATTCATGGCTTTCAATAATGGTTGTGCAAAGTGATTTTTCAATTGTATCTCAGCATCATTTACAGGTGTCTCCGTAATTTTCATAGTTCAAAATGTTGTTAAAAGTAACCGAATAACATTAACGAGGTTGACTTTCATTTTCAACCATTTAGTGTTACATAATTCGGCAAATAAAAGATAATAATATTATAGCTATTCCGAGCACACGATTTTTTACACATAAAAAATAATGACAATATACAAAAATTAAAATGTATACAATATGTGAAAATATCTATTCACTACAGTATTAAAGATGAATGCGAACGAATAATGTGACAATTTTTCAAGTAATCAAAATATGTCACATTCGATAAAAATGCTAACATTGAATAATCGGTGTATTACGATTACAGAAATAATTTTCCTCAAAAATAGTTTATTAGCGACTGTGATAAGATTTATCTTTTTTTTCTCACATGACGATGACAAAAAAACATATTTTGATCATAAATTACTCAGTCTTCAATTACGATGCATTTTATTTGATGATTATTGTGACGATAAAAAATTAATCTATAACAATTGAAAATTTTGAAATTGCGATTTCATTTACTCTTTCGGTGTAATTACTTCCATCAAAGAATAATTTTTAGTTCTTTTGTTATAGATTTTTCATTATGAATTTTTTCGAAGAAGAAAAAAAAATTATAATCTATACAATTCCACTCCAATTATGCTTGAAATTACTCTATACTACCTGTCGTACACACTATTTACTGATACTAGTTTTCATTTTTTATTCTAAAAAATTATTACACAATGTTATCAAAATCTGTGCAAGGGTACTATCACACTCCGCCGTGAGATTTGAAACATTTATTTCAATTATATCAAGAACATTTAAATAATGGTCATCATGATCTAATTATAAACTTAAGTTTATAATTAATATAATCAAACTATGATTAATGGTCACGATTATTCCATGATAACTAAAGAAATAAAGTTGGATTATGATTATTTTTATTGAAAATAAGGTTCAAAAATGTTTTAGTGGAAACAGTCTATTATTATAGGGACTATCTAAAAGAGTATTCAATCATTAACGTTTTAAATTAATTTAGATTTAGAATCTCTATTTGAAAAATAAACTACTTTAACGATAATTGCTCGGATGAAATCGAAGTTTTTAATGTGTAGACGGAGTGTAGACGCAATCCTGATATTTGCAACGCATATTATCAGAAGGGAATGCACTGGGCAGTATATCTGTATCTGCAGTAAGAGCTATGCTGCTTCAACGGCTTTAGATCTTGGGGAGGACTGTAATGTTTTCTCTTTCTTGACCCAGTGATATAAAGTCGTGATTTCTTCCTCACGTCACACGTGATGATTTCCATTTTCAGGTCAGAGGTCAACTACGATTTCATGCAAATTGCAGATTCTTACGCAATTATCTAAAATATTGACATTATTATTTGTTTTGAAAAAAGATATTAAACCAGCAAACTATTACCTGTTTTTTCTTTCTTTCTGAAAGTCAATACTGTTAGTGGGCCCATTTTTTAAATGGTTAGTGAATTCACATGTAACTTTTTCACTAACGTACTCTTAGAGGTAGGATGTTGCAGTAAAGGTTTAGTTGAACTTAAGACACCCAAAACCAACCGTTTCAATAGCCTCTCTCAAACTTTCTCCTGTAAATTGAAACTTTCGACACACTCTTTTACGTTTTGAAGCCTTTTTTTTTATTCTCATAATTTACATCACGTTCAATTGTTTTTTTCTTCACGTTGGTTAATTAGTTGATTTGATTCCGCTATTATCTTGAAAAACACTTTACATACGATACAAACAATAAAAATATATAGATGTCATTAGGCCATTTATCGGTTATTTTAGATTTCAAGTTCGATCACAATTTGAGCGGTCCGTCATTTACTGGCGAAATTTTGATTATAAAGTAATAGATGAATGACCGATCAAATATGAAAGAAAAATTTTTTCTTTCGATATGTGAAGAATGATATTAGATTTGAATAAAAAATTAATATTTGCGTTTATCATACCTTTTTTATAACACTCAAATGGTTGATATTTGTAATCAAATCTATAGTTTCTTTTAATTTTTGTTCGGTGTACATGTGAGAATTGCGCCAAAACACATATAGAATTAAAGTCTTGAATTAAAAATTAATTATTCCCAAGTATGATTGATTACTTTTCGGTATTGCTCAAAATTAACAGAGACAATATCTAGACGGCAACTATGCCACATTAATGGATATAAAAGAGGGTTTTTCATTGAATATTGACAATATTTTGGGTTCATCTACTGGGTATGACTTATTTATTGGACTTAACCCTACGTTCGAATGAATGAAACTGTTCTTACAATACTTAAATCACTGAGAATAATCTTAGATTTTCGCGTTATGTGGTTTTTAGGTAGTTATCATTCCAATTAAATGAATTGATTTCTAAGAATGGCTTAACATCTATGCCCATTTCATTATCATTCTTTAACATTATGTTTTGTAAATTTATCATTGCAGTTACAACTGTAGTGAATGTAGGTCCTGTCAGCACAACTGGTTTCAAATTGTTTAAATCGTTCCTTTCATTGTATATAAATCGTTGACACGGTGAGTTACGTATATTTATTTGCTGAGCGCGAATCATGTGAGCAATGTCAACGTTATTATTAATTCGCTGGTTATTTATAAGATCAGGATACTTGATTGAGATTTTACCTCTGATCAGTATATCAGGTTCACCATATGGTGGCTTGGCACGCATGCGTAATAACGGTAATAATTTGTTCCTTATCATGTAAAAGTTTTGATTTTTATATTTACAAATTGCTAATATGAATGAGTCAAGACATTTTTCTAATATACTCAAACGATCGATATTGTTTTCCTCAATGTATTGAGTGAATACAGTAAGTTTTGCAATTTGTCCCAATTCAAGCAAATCATGAATTCCAAATTCAGTTTTATTGCATAGACAAATTATTTTATCAATGTTTTGAGTCGTAAAAATTGATTTATCCGTATTGTAAATTTTTTCTAAAACTCCTTCATTTGTACCTGATAAGTGAATTATGTTTTGATAGCAATCATTTGGATCTAATGATGTATCTAGGGATATTATATTCATAAATATCAATTTCAATTACAGTCAATTGAACAGTCTATCCTAACTAATTATAAAGGAATTAAGATATTTTTTTTTCATATTATTTAACTCAAATTATAGATAAAAGAGTATCCATTTTTGGTGAGAGGTGAATCGTTTATTATCTTGAGAAGTTCAAATCTACTACCTGCATTTCTTGTATTCAGTCGTACAAAACAGATGACCGAAACGAATAGACAATTATTCATAGAAAACGAAACTATTCGAAATCATTGAACACTAATACGAAATGACATAATAAGATTAGTAACAATATCAAGCATAACAACTCGTCACTTCTGTCAAGTCACATCTAACAATGCTTTTTGCCATTTACTATGATCATCTTCCTATTCTAACGTCTACCTTTTTATTTACTCTAGAAAACGACCTGAATCGATTTTACATAATTAGGTTTTTAATCTTATGAATTGTACACGTCATGGAATTAGGTTAATTTCTTCGACAAAAGATATAGTTGCTGACAACATGCCATCTTTACGATGATTATGACCATCCCGTAGTATCTATACTTCTAATGGAAATTGTATTTTTTACACATTGATGCTACCCAAACTTTAGTAAAACTTCAAACGTTTTTATTCGATGAAGTTTTATGTAAATTCAAAGCATGTAATGCGCAGTTGTAACTCTGATCTTTTTTGGTTTTCGATAAAATAAGCCCTTGTTATTCGTGAGAATTTTAATCGCTTGAGGTATCATATAGGATGAGGTTATGAGAGCAAATATCTGTAACCACAATTAATATTTGTTTATTATCGGAAAAACAACACAGTGAGCAAGATTAATTTATTTCTCCTCTACTAAATAACATTACTTAATTGAAATATTTATAACGATCATAGTAAGTGCATTACTACAACTAATAAACGTATAACGTTAATTTAGATCATTCAAACCAATTTTTCACTATAAACAGAGTTTGTAGTGAATACTCTCCGCTGATAGACGCAAAGCAAACTCAAAGAGTATCGAAGAATCTCTACTCATTGAAAAAAAGTTTTATCCGTGTTCTGACAGTCAGAAGTATTCACTCTCATTGATTTTTTCTCGTTAATAACTCTTCTTACTGTTCCGCAGCTCCGAGAACGCAAATATCCAAGAAAACGGTCTGTATTAGTCAGTCTTCATTGGATACTGTCAAGTCTCGGTGAAAACTTGTACGTGGGTCGTACTTGATAAACGTCGGACCATTTTTGGGCTTGATCGATCGATGCCAACTGACAGACAACTTGTTTAAGAGTCCACTCGATACCTCTACAATCGCAGTAAACTAACACCGACGAACTCTTCAATCAAAAACCAGAGAACTCTGGCATATTCCTCAGCAATGAAATAATTCGACAGTCAATCATCTACTGTGATAACTGTGAACCCATTCTTCTCACTCTCATCATCAGTCATCTCTTTTTGGTCCGATTTAGCATCTTTGCTTCGAAAGGCGCGAACGATATCGGCTTTGACGGCCTCATGCACAGACAGACACACTTAGACTCCTGGGCCGGGACCAAACTGCAAGTGGGTGTATGTTAGTTTACTACATGGTGAGTACATTGTATTATGCAGTGAGAAGCTCAAACTCGATCACAATCGAGCAACTTCGGCAAACCCCATTATGATCCTTACCACGAAGTAAGAATGAGTTAGCGCTGAACGGTGCCTACTCACGAGGAGTAAGAGGGTATCCTTGAAACGCAGGATTGTGCTAAAAGTCGTATACTAAAGGTTTATCTATTATTTCCTATGTATTATGCAAATCCAGTTAATACAATCTTCATAATTGTATTATTATTACTATTGAAGTGATGATAAATTTTTGTATCATGCATTTAATTTTTGCGCTCCTGCTATACGTCTGCCGAAAAAAGACTTTAAAAGCCTAAAGCTACGCCAAAAGGACATCGACCTACCATTTGCGTTACCAAAGATGATTAGTCCCGAGAAGAGTACAGAAAAAGAGAGCAGATTATTTTAGCAAATTCTGCCGCTGATGAAAATCTCCAAAACAAGCCAGAATAACTGATAACGTGATTCTATACGGTTAAAAAAAAATCTTAAACTCTAAGAGTTCGTCAGTAAACATTCAAAACATCAAAATTCTTTTTTCTTTTCTCTTATTTTATAAAAAAGAATTCGGAAAGTAAAGAATAAAAATCTTCAAGAGCTGGGAATGCTATGACAAGAAAAATCTAGATAGATTCCAAAAATTGTTGTTGCATCAAACATAATAATAAATTCCTAATTTTGATCCAAATTCCTTTTTTTTATTTAATTGAATGGTGTCACCTCTTGGAGAACATTTCCTTGAATTAGTAACCAACTACACATCCTATTCATAAAATCAGACTCTTGAAATCACGAAAATAATAGTGACAAATAATACACTTTGCATGGAATTTCCAAAAACATAAGTTCAATAGTTGAAACCAAGTATTAGAACTTTATAAGATACCATGTATACTTAGTGCCTATCTTAACTTTATTTTGGCAATAAATAAAGGTAAAGTTAACGACACAAACGCTCGAACCGTGTATATCCTATAGTAACTCCACGAAAATGCTCTAGGACATACATTGTGAGTTAAAAGCTAAAATCATGTGATTAATGAAAGCCAACGTTCTTAGACTGAAAGTTACAAAAACCCTGAATCTTACAGAAATTAAGAATTTATAAAGAGTCAACAATCAACTATCAACATCATAAGAAGCGAGTCTATTCATATAAACCACTTTCAAACGACCATTCGCTATGTTCTGAATTCTAAAAACAACATTATTTAATTTGTTTTTTACAATACATGTACCTTTCTAATCTGATTGTAGTTTAGGGCATTCCTCTTTTACCCTTATAGAAAATAAAACTAAACCTTTTGACCTACGTCAAAAGACAAAATATTATAATCTAATTATATAATTAGGTTTAAGTTTTCTGCTTCAATTTCTACATTCCGTTACACATAGTCATGAGTGAATTGTAATTTTTCACGACTATCACAAACATATTCGACTGTAGGATTTTTCTTAGAAACATTTTCTGAAGAAGAAATTTCACGAAAAAAATCCAAAAGTAACCTTAATTTAACCTCAAATGTTCGACCGTAATCGTAATAAATTTCGGAAGCGACACCATATCTAGAGAATCTTTGAGAGACTGAAGCTTCAGCAATAGTAGAAACCTGATGACTAGGAAGAGGGATTGCTTTAGGTCATCTAGCGAAATAATCAGTAACAACTAAAAGAAATTCATTGCCAGACGAAGTTTTCGTAAGAGGATAAAGAATATCAACTCTTCTAAAAGGAACACCCCCTTTATAAATTTAAAGAGAACCACATGATCTTTCTTGAAGATACTTTTGAGGAAAACAAACTTTACATTTTTTACACTAAATATAAAAATCTTTTTCAAAAGTAGACCAGAAGAATCTTCGACGAATTTTAGAAGTTGGCTCATTTATACCAAAATTTTCACTAGGAGGACAATTATGAGCCTCAGAAATTATTCCATCAACTGTGGCTCGAGGAACAACCTAAAAAAATAATTAAAAAAGGTTAGAAGCTTTCCATCGTTTAACTAAAACTCCATTTTTTAATTATATAAAATTCCAATATAGTGAATAACTTTTCAAAGTCGAATCTCAATTTTTATTTTCCTGAATTGAATTGTTCTCAGATAGGACAGAAAATGTTTCTATTAGATGAACACTTTTCATTAGCATCAATTTACAAACATTTCTCACAATAACGTGGACCCCAAGATGAAGCATCCGCATTACCATGTCTTTGATCAGCTCTATGCTGACCTTTAAAATTATATTAAAACAAAATTTCTAACCAACGAGCAACTTGATCTCCAGGATTACTGAAAGAAAGTAACCAGTTTCAATTGTAGATTGTTTACCGCGAAGAAAATGACAAAAATGTTCAACCGAAATAACAAGAGCTATCGAATCTTTCCTAGTAACACAATAATTTAGTTTACGAATATTGAAAGTCTTACTAAAATACGCATTACCCTTTTCTTGATAAATAATTCCACTATTTTTTTAATTAGAATTTTCTGAAATAGAACTGCTCCAATACCAATATTAGAAGCATCAGTGTCAAGAATGAATGAAAAATTAGGATTAGGGTAACCCAAAATAGGTGTAACAGTTGAAATTTCGGAAAAGTTTGAAGAGCTGTATTATTCTAAATAGAATCTCTTTTCGTTTTACTAATTTAATTAAGAGGTTTTGCTGAAGTAGCAAAATTAATGATAAATATACTATAATACGATCAAAGACCAAGAAAATTCCCAACTTCTATTTGTCGAAATAGGCCAGTTTAGAGGGCAATCTTAAAATTTTCCACCACTCTTCGGCCAAGTAACTTGCGCCGCGTAGTGGTAAGACAGATGAACTAATGTAAAATAATTTATTTGAAAATTAGTTTGGAAATTAAAGAATGAACAAAAAATTGAAGTAATGCATGTATTCAAACGCTACATATTCATTTTATAATTTAAAACAGAAGAACACGAGATAAAATGTAGGATGAATCTTATTTTACTACAAATTTAAATTAAATTCACGTCGACAGTTTTTCTTATCATCACTTTTCATGACGTAACTACTGATACACGTGTAAAAAAGAAATAATTAGTGGATCGATGCTGTCGAACACTCAATTTCAAAAACAAATTAAACTCCGATTATACACATAGTCGAGTTCTCTAGTCTGAGTAAATGTGTCCTTTGTAGGATTTATTAGAAAAACAATTATTGAATTCCTAGTACTGTAGTGAACCGTAATTATTTATCAAAATGTTGTGAAAAATCAGTGCAATTTTTAGAATTAATTTCAAAAATTGAACGAGTTATTTATTCTATAAGGACAGTAGATACTAACATATTAGAGTCTTTAGTCTGACTCAATGTGTTCATTGCGAAATTCAAACGACCACTTTCACTTTGTTCATCCAGAGGGTATGAACATTCAACATTCGACATTGGAACTTTTGATCTTCGCTGTAAAGCTTGGAAATTCTTTATGAAGTTAAAGGTCGGAAGGCTAAGCCTGTCTGCTAAGTCAAGTACCTAACTTAGTGTCCTTCTATGGTGAAAAGGTCGGAACACCCCCATAACTGCTGTAAATTTTATTGTCCTTTGTATTCATTGTCGTCCTAATACTTTATAAGCGTGACATAAAAAATGTACACAATGTGTATGCATTTAAGAACCAATGAATTCAAGAATGCAAAAAGTGATTATTGTTTTTCATATCTTATCATATCACAGACATTTCAATTCGAATAGTTATCAATTAATTAATGACAGTGCGTACAGGCAGATTAGGGGCTCTAGTCCGTCTCGACTTCCTAATTAGAAAGAACATCAGAAAATAATGTTTTTTTCAGTCTTGTAGGTGGCTGATGGAATTGTTATAAACAAAAAGAATAAGTTTCCATTCATTTCGTACGGTTGGTAACTTTTTTTTAGCAAAAGAAAAAATTACGCGTCAAAAGAATTAAAATATATTGCATAGATTTCTATTTTCATTGTTTATAACAATTAAAAAATTTTTTATTCAAATATTATTATGATCGATAATCATTTGTTATTAAGAATGTACAATCGTTATAGACACAATTTCTTATTATCAACAATAATCATTGACTATTTCATTATCCTCAACGCTATTTTCTCCATCCGAATACAAGTTTAAAATTTCGTTATTGCTGATTCTGTTTTTTAAAAATTTTTTTTCTATGAAATACTGTCATTATATTTCTGTACAATTATTCCAAACATTTGATATTTATTTTTTTCAAG